TAGAACTATGTTACTAAAATATGTTTAGACCAAGCAATCCAAGTAGAGCTGATAAACAATTTGTCCTAGACAAAGGAATGCTGTTTTTTCTGTTTCCCTGTGTCTCCAGTGTAAATTGAGCAAGGTGATAACAGAGACAGTAGAAGTTATATTTACATCTGAGTCAACAGGAAAAGCAATTGAGAGAAGGGCGAGGACTGGAACACAGCATGGTGTCAACTTCCTGGAGCACAAGCAGCACAGGAGAAAAGCTTTATCTGGGGATACACTCCAAAAGAATATATTTCAAAGGTTTACTGGACTACAAGAAGAAGGGGAGAGAAACCCTTAGTTTTCCATCACTTAGTGGACAAAGGGAATTAGGATTCTTTGATTCTGTGAACAGTGGCTCTTGTACCTGAAGGGCTGGAGATACACACCGCTTGATGGAAGTGAAAAAGGTGCTTAGGCAAAGATTATAGCTGGCTAACGTAAAGCTTTAGTCACTAGAAAGTGTTATTTTGTTTTATTTGTAATCCTTCCTGACTCTTTTTGTCTTGCTTAGTATTGCTTAAATTAATGTATCAGAGGGGGAACTGTGTTAGTCTGGATCTGTAAAAGGCGACCAAGAGTCCTGTGGCACCTTATAGACTAACAGACATATTGGAGCATAAGCTTTCGTGGGTGAATAGTCTGCCATGCGTCTGACAAAGTGGGTATTCACCCACGAAAGCTTATGCTCCACTGCTCTATAAGGTGCCACAGGACTCTGTCGCTTACATTCATGTTATTAATAAATTTATGCTTAGTTATACTGTAGATCATCTCAGTGCTGTTATATTAAAGTGGGGTGTGCATCCTCAGTTGAGCCAACAGGCTGGTGTGGCAGTGGACTTGGTTATTTTCTGTGAGTGTCCAATGAGAGGGACTGGACATTTCAGAGAGATGCCTCTAGGTAACTTGGAACTGGGTGCATTGAACGTTACCTGCAAGGCAAAGTTTAGACTGTCGAGTCTCAAGGAGTTTAGTGGTGAGGTAGACAGAGTGGGTGGTAGGGGAATTGTCACAGTTTAAGCTCCAGCAAAGATGTCTTTGCTGAGGCAGGGAGGCGACACAGTGATTTACGGTTTTGGGTTCCATGAGGAAAGCGACACAATTTAGGCTATTGGATTCAATGAGCCATAGGTTTGAGCCAATTTGGCAATTCTAGTCGTGGATACTGATCAGCACCAGATGCTTCACAGGAAGATGCAAAAAACCCACACATGCAGATGTGGGATATAATCTGGACCTTCAGTGAAAATCTCATCTAATCCTTATTATTTAAAATTAGTTTTAATCTTGAATTGTGAGGCTTCACAAATATTACTTTTTAGCTTCAAACTGCTGAATAAACATTAGTTATGGCATTCCCATTTCATCCCTTCCTTCTGACAAACATAGGCCCTTATCCTGCAAACACTGACACATAGCATGCATAACTTTAAACACATATGTCCATGTTTGCAGGTTAAGAGCTATAGGGCCTGCAAAGAGTTACCTATGCACATATCCTTACTCCCTCAGGCAGCGACACCCAGAAGAGTGGGACGAATGGGGTGAAATCCCCGACTCCTGACACATAGGTAAAATTTTGTCCACCAGGTGGTAGTGCTGCTGGGGCCTGAAAGGCAGCTTTGTGCAAGCTGGTGGGTCTTCTCCCCCTGCCCAGAGAGAATGGCAGCAGAAGAACTTGGCTTGCTACTGCTGCCAGCTGGTGAGGGGTGGCGCTGCCTCTCAGGGGCTTCCCACATGCGCCAGGGAGGATGCTGAGGAGCTGGCTGTGGTGGTGCTGGTTCTGGAGAGGGGGCAATTGGTGGCCTGGGGAATGGTACCAGACATTTTTTTTTTAACTGTGTAGTCTGTGCAAGCCTCCCCCTACCCCAGGAGTCTGAATTCCACTGCTGTCTCCTAGTAATGGCGGAGGCAGCATGGGGTCAAGCTGGCTGTCCCAGATGTTTGACCGGAGCAAAGGGTCCAGCCTGGCTGTCAAGTGGCGCTAGCAAGGAGCAAAGGGGATGGTGCAGAAAAGTACCAGCAGCAATTCAATTTTGTGGCTCAGGAATCGGGATAAGATTTGGTAAGGCTCATCCTCTGCCTGCCTTGACTCATCCAACTCCAAACCCTCCCCTTCTACTCTCCAGGGTGTCTCAATCGCCTCCCTCCGACCCTGATCCTATTTAGTAAATTTTGGAAAACATTCAGTAATTTTTTTAGATTACACCCTCCATGCTGCTTATGAACCCAAGTGGCTCCCTGCCACATGTAGTCCCATTGAAATTGGAGTATTTTGGGTATTTTAACTGAATTATGGATCTCTTAATTTGCCATATACCTGTATATAAAAGTAAACAGTTCTTTGCATTATTGGAAACTTTGCTTTAGGGATGGATGGGAAATTCTATGTATTAAAGAGAAACGAGCATTGGGAGGACAACTCATTTTAAGAGGTAGGTCCTTCTGCTCACTGAAAGCAGGAAGCATATCCATCTGGCCAAGTTCCTTTTTATTGATTTTTGTAAAAACTGCATTTAGTGAGTGTAATTTCTCAAAGGAGAGGAAAAGCTTAAGTCCTAAATATTTAATAGAATTCAGGGAGTATTGATATTAAATTCCATGAGCTTACTTTTTATAGTGGAAGCTCAGTGGGAATGTTTCAGATTTATCATTGTTTACAGGAGACCACAGAGAGGAGGATCCCTGAAAGTTTCTTGATGTAAAAGGGCCTGATTTTCAAAAGGTCAGGCATAAAAGTGCATGCAATTATGAGCCTAATATGCTCATGCACCTATTCTGATTGAATAAATAATTCAGGTAATTTGTACATAAAAATAGTCAGACTAAGTGGAAATCTGAATGCCCAAAACCTGCATTGCATAGGCAAACACAGTAATTGCATGTATAAATTAGATGCCCAATGATATACTTTATTTTTTTAAATGGGGCACTTTGTATATAGAAACGCGCTTGATTTTCATGCTTGCTTGGGTTTATCATAGTATAAGTCTAAGATGCTTCCATTGTTTAAAACAAACAAAAATAAATGATCTTGCAATTCCTTCAGCTGAGGCATGACAGATTACTTGCAAGTAAAAATGCCCTTATGCATGTCCATTTATCATAATTATGATGGATTTATGAACATATTTGCAGATGTAATTATGAATGTGACTTTTTAAAAAATTGGACCCAATATAATTTGGAATAATTAAACTAGTATAATTAACTAGAGTGAAGAAGGAAGGGGAAAATGCTGCCTTATTTACATATCTAACAGGTTGTCTTCACTATAGTGTTAGCTCAAGGTATAAATTGAGTGTTAGCTCTAACCTGATTCCCATTCATGCACAAAAATCTTTTGGGTGAGTTAAGTGGTATATTAAGTGGGTTAAGTGGTATATTAAACTCTAGCTAGCTGGCCCATGGGGGTATGAATTGAAGCTTGTTGAGAGCCACAGATACTAGATCTAGTAATATCATAGGTATGCAGCTACAGACTATAGCTGCAGTTAGCATAATTTATCAGGTGCTAGTCTAATCACTTTGTGCTGCTAATCAAATCACTCTGTATAGCTTGAGTGCAGTTTTGCAGCTCTCACTTGAGTGAGGCTAAATCAGAGTGGAGTGGCTCAAGTGTAAGTAATTGGAGCTACCTGTTGCTTTAAGGTGTAATGTTTACTTGCAGTATGCTACCCAGCCACTAGATGTTTTCTCTGCTGTACAGCATTTTAGACATGGTGTTGGTCCTGGTAAACAAAGAGTTAGTTAGAACTCAAGCTGTGTGGAACTCTTTGTCTTTAGTTCATAGTTTTCTTTAATAGTCTCCTGTTTGAGGAGTGTGGCTCTCTATAGCATGACAAGCAGTGCCAGGTCGTACTTTTCTCCGATTCCTCTCCCTTACTGTTAGCCATGTGTGTGTGTTGCAGAATGTTCCCTAACTTCCCCCACAACATAACACAAAGTGATTATTATTTGAATTCTGGTAATCCACAAAATGAGCTACATGCTGCCCACATCTCCGGGGGAAGGACAAGTCCCTGCTCAGATGGTAAGAGGGAAAGCAGGATGAGCACTGAAGGGAGGGAGGCGATGGGAATAGGTGCAGAATTTGCACATATGCTACCTGCATGCTGGGGTGGACGGACAGGCTCTGTGGGGACACAGCTCCGGTTTTAATTGGTCACAGGATCATTTTCCAATCCCAGCTTCCTGCTGCAAGATCCAGAACACCATCCACCCCAACCCCCCAAGGAAGCGTTATTGAAAACTTCACATGGGCTCGCAACTGCTGCAGTGCGACAGACCGCAAGATGCCCTACGGGCAGAAAGGGGCGGATTGGTGGCGTGGCGAGCTCAGCAGGAAACGCTGAAAAGGGGGAAGCAGGAGGGAGGCTGAAGAGGTCCGGGGAACCAGGTTGAGATAGAGGGTAATACAAGAGGTCTGGAGGGAAGAAGACCTGGGAGAGCATGGAGGGGATGTGGAGAACTAGGAAGAGGGGGCAGGGTAATATGGGGTATGGAGGCAGAAGTGGCTCACGGGAGTGTGTGGGGGTAAGAACAGAGGAAGATGCTGGAAAGGGAGAGGAATCGCGGGGGCAAGCGCTCGCAGCGGGCAGGCTGGGGCAGTCCAGGGGGGCGCACACGCGGGAGACACCAGCGGTGCAGAGGGGCTGGATGCAGCGGGTCCCCCCGGGGCTGGGCGAGGAGGGGTCCCGGTGCGCTGCTCGCGTGGTACGGGTGTGACACGCTGCCACCGGCCAGAGCCCGGGCCCGCAGGGCGAACACCCCATGCGGGGGCCCAGCTCTGGACTCACGGAGCTGGGCTTGTCCCCCACGGCGTCTCCGGCCTTCCTCTCCGTGCCGGGCAGAGCAGCCCAGGCCCCGGAGCTCCTCCTCCGGCCCAACCCCTCGGCGCCGGGGAAGCGGGGGTGCAGCCGGGCTGGGCGGGGAAGGGGCGGCCGGGCGGAGCCGCGTCATTTCGGGGACGGGGGCGGGGCGGGCTGTTTCCCCTCCAGGCCCCACGGCAGGAGCCGCTGCCAGTTGCGTAAAAGCAGCAGCCGGGGCGGGGAGCCGGGACACCATGCCGCCCTGACCGGTAGCGTCCTCAGCCCGCCGCACGCCGTCGAGGTGAGTGCCAGCCCCGCCGCCGCCCGAGCGCCCCCAAGCTCTGTGCAGCTCTTCGCCTGCTGACTTCCGCCCCCCAACTCCGGCAGCTCGCCCCCTGCTGGCTTCCTCCTGTGCCCCCAACCGCTGGACACTTCACCCCCTCTTGACTTCCCTCTTGTGCCCAGGGTTCCTTACCCCAGCCCGGCTGCCCTCTTCCCCAGCACCCCCTGCTGCTTAGCTACCGCTGAGCCTGTGTACCCCACACTGTTCACTCCCTGCTTCCTTTCCCTTTGCTCCCTACCCTCGGGTCCCTATTTTCTTTCCCCCTGATTTTTTTCAAACTCAGATACAGTTTAAATGAACAAATCAGAGTTTCATCTGCAGCACAAAATTGTGTTGCAGTGTTGTAGCCCTGTTGGTCCCAGAAGTTTGTATGAAACAGCCTAAGTTAGGAGCGGAACTAAAACATCCTTCCGCACCCTTTTCTGGACTGCGTAAGAAGATTGTTTTAAGATAAGAAACTGTTACTTAAAAGGTGATAACTTATCTTGACACATTTTTTTTTATTAGGTTGAGTTATTGACAAATTTACTTGTAAGCAACTTTTTTTTCTTTTTTCTTTTTTTGCTTGTCTTAGGAAGAAAGGTACACTTGTATCCCCAAGTTTTACCTCTTGGCTGGTCATGCTTATCTTTGCTAAACTAAACCCTAGCTTTCCTTTATTCCAGTTTTAATAAGGAAATGGAAAGTTAATGTCTTGTGTTTTAAACTAATGTGGGAAGTCTCAAAAATTCACATGCACTTAAATACTGTTTTGAGTTTGATGCTGTTGTGTGTCAGAGTTAGAGTAGTAATAGCAACTGGTATTGTAGACTTCCCTGAAAGGAAATAAAAATGTTATAATTTGATGTAACATGTTACCTATTTAAATATGCTTTTGAAAAAGCTTATATTAAAAATAAGGGCCTGTCTTAAATTTGGGGGATAGGGAGAGAGCTAGGAAATTCGCAACTTTAAATTCTAGTTAGATGTAATGTTCACTGTGTCCTAGGTATTGATGGAGTCCCTGAACAGAGTGTAATCTTTCCTACCCTCAAGTAAATTCTTCCACTGATGGTTATTGCATGTATAAATTCCCAGCACATGGTTAGAACTGACCTCAACACGTGCAGCAGTACACAAATGCAGTGAGTTCAGGATGAATTAGCTGCCTTAACTTTGAATTCCACAGGGTTTTTTTGTTTTTGTTTTGTTTGTTTAAACCAGATCGATAATGATTTATTGTAACTTTCTTATTTTAAGTGCATTTTTGTTCTAACAAAACCACTGAATGCATTAGAACCTCTTTAATAATCCACAGCACATTTGACAGGTGCTCTCACCTCTCAGCAGGTAATTGATGCTGTAGCAGGGTCTCGCATTGTAAAAACAATCTAACCTTAACAAGTAAATTATCTAAATGTTGCTAGAAAGAGCTAGCATGTCTTCATACATAGAACTCTCATATGTAGATTGTGCTTTCAGAGTACTGGCATGAAAAGAACAAAGGTTAGTGTGGTGACAAAGCATCACACTTAGCCATTTGAGACATGTATGTAAAAAAACAAATTGTAATAGTTATGTGGTACATATTTTTAATACATCCACAGATTGGGTGCCTTTTTTAGGTGTAGCATTAATTCTGTCTTTCCTGTGTTTCTAATATTAAAGTTCTTAACTGTAACTTTCTTGAAAGGTAATATGCATGAAATCACTGTGCCTGCAGCTTTTACATCATCTTAATTAACTTTTGTTGAGTTTAGAGTATACTATATGATCAAGTTTAAAATGTTTTCCCCAAGGGATAATTTATGAGCACAGGGATGTCCATGAAAGTATAATGGGAGTTGTACAGCTAAATCCTTGGAATTAAAGAATATGTTTTAGGTTCTCTGAAAAACTGGCTACACAATAGTTTTCATATTTAAATACCTTGAAGATTGTCTTGGTGTGTGTGAGGATATTACCCTGCAATATTACCCTCCCTTTAAAGTTGAGACAGTTTTATGTGCACCTAAAGATAATAGAAGGTTGGTAAGTAACATAAACTAAAACAACAACAAAAAAACCCCAAAACCCGTATAATCAGGGCCGGCTCTAGGTTTGCCAGAATGCCGCCCAAGCAACAACAAAAAAAGAATGGCCGGAATGCTGCCCCAAGCACGTGCTTGCTTTGCTGGTGCCTAGAGACGGTCCTGCTTATAATGCTACGCTGAGGAAAGAGTAGATCTTTGATCTGCTAGACAACGATAGCCTTCCTTTTGAAGAAGCTTCAGTCAAGAAAGTTACTTTGGTGCATGGTATAAATAGATTTGCACTGGCACATCTGAATTTACTGGTGTAGGATGACCTGTCGCTCATAAGAATTAGGACTGTACTGCAACAAGGAAAAAACAAGGTCCTGCTCTGGCAGTATCTAGTTCTTTGAAATGCTTTGTCCTTGGAGGTCCTACTTGTGGAAATCTACAAGTCTGAAATCTTTTGGCCAGCAGTGTTGGGGGCATGTGTGCTCTGCATGTCTTCATGCCCTCTTACCAGAGGGACTACAGGAGGAGTGCACCTCCAATTACCACTCTGTTTGCTTGCTAATCCAGAATCCTATTTGTATAGGAGGACTCTGAAGTAGTGGGGAAAGAGGGTGGGTCATTGGATTGGCATGCATGGGGTCATGACCCCCAGGGCATTGTGGAACAGGTTTTGGAGGCAGTCGCAAGTGTAGGGCCAGTGTTATGGGGTGGCAAGCAGGGCAACTGCCAGGGGCCACACGCCACAGGGGACCCCAGGAAGCTAAATTACATGCTTCAGCCCCTCGCTGCCCGCAGCTGAAGCCCAAGCCCCATTGCCTGGGACTGAAGCATATAATTTAGCTTTGTGAGGCCTCCTGTGTCATGGGGCCCTGGTTGCCATCCCCCAACACTGGCCCTGAGTATTAGTCATAATTTACTTAATGATATTTAAGGTAGGGGGTTGCAATTTTTTCAAGTCTTAGTAGGGGAAGGTCACTTTCTTTTTTTTTTTTTTAAGTCTAAAGGGGGTCGCCAGGTTGAGAAACACTGCTTTAAGGTAAGGGCCTTGTTTTTCTTCAATTTTTGTGTGTCTGGATCCCATTCATAATAAGCAATTCCCAGACCAAATAAGAGGAAAGTCTTAAGAGTTCTGGCTAAATAAAATGCAGAAACATTCTTGTGAAGTTGGTGTCTGGTCTGGATGCCAGGTACCACGAGTAATATTTTGATATGTGGATAAAGCTACAGGTAGCCACTCAGCGAATCTCTTGAAGAGAAACAGTCCTAAGGTAAGCAGCATATGTTACCCAGAGTTTTCAGAACCCACAGCAGTGGTAACTTAACTGTTTCACTCCAGGCAGGGTCAGGAATAAATCAATGGGAACACAGAGCTCTAGCTGATGAAAGATTAATACAAGTAAGCGTACTCTTATCTAAAACTACAATTTATTAGATTTAAGCACACATAGACACAAAACAATAGGTTTAGAACATCCCAAATATTTACCTAAAATCGGACGGTATTGAGTAAATTGCAGCAGTTCAGCAATGGCTGGTTGCTTCCCTGCCAGGGAGTAAGGTGTTGGGGGAAAAAACCCTCTCAGGATAACTTCAGGTGACTGCTCCAAAGTACACTCTATTATGTAATCCTTCTATAGCTAAGTTTTACAAAACACATAGATCATTGTGACCCCTACTAGGTCATCGCAGCTCCTAAAGTCAATAAATTATTTATCAACAAACATTCCTAACAATCTTAGTCATAATAAACTTTTATATCAAAGGCACCCAAACTCCAAGGTTCTCATCCACTTATTTGCTTTTGTCTCAATTGTTGACTTTTTCTCTCCCCTCCTCCCATTCTGATTAGCAGAGACTGTAAGCCTGCAAATGTATTTGACCTTGCCTCCAGAAACTCTGCTTGTTCAAATTAACCCTTAAGTAGGTGGTGGTCTATTTTTATTAATTCATGGTGGCTGAATGCAGATAATATGGTTGCAATTGACTTGATCAAAATCTGGGGTACATGCACCGTTCAAATTTGGGGTAACAAGCCGCTTTAGATTTAGTAGAATGAACCCTGATACCGGTGAGAGGGGAAAGAAAGGCCCTAGTGTTTTGTAATAAGTATGGGTCTGCTGTCTAATTCACTTGTACAATTGGTCTGACCCAGTATGGCCATTCTTATGTAGAATCTCTCAAAACACATTGACACCTAGAATTGTCCCTGTGTGCTACAAATAAGAGAGAGATAGCAAACAAGGGCTGTCTTTACATTTAATGTGTATAATCTAGCTTCCCAGACTGACTGACCGATTCATGTGAAATTTGGAAAGCTTTTTAGATAAGAATTTGGGGTGAGACCTCAACATCTTTTTATCCCTATGGAATCCTGTATACTGTGGCTCTGCCTTAAGGTTTGAATCTTGTTAACCCTCCTAGCTGAGGTGATGGCCACTAGGAAAGGAATCTTTATGGAGAGATGGTAAAGTGAATAGTCATTCATAGCTCAAATTGGGGTTTTATAAGAATGGTTAAGACAATAGTTTGGTGCCAGGGTGGAGGTAGTTCTCTGGTTGGTGGAAAGGCATGGCTCAGGGCTTTAAAGCACTTCGTCACTATCAGGTGATGGAAGACTGGATTGGAGGGTGGCCGGTGAAGTTTGCAGCTAAGTGGACTCTGATTGAAGTGGTGTTGAGTCTTGTTTGTTTTTAGTTGGAAAACATAGGAATTTACAAACAGGATATTTTTGAAAGAGTCGCACCTTCCTGGGAGGGCTATACGCAGAATTGTTTCCACTTCTTCCTGTGAAGGACTCTGCTGAATGGTTTTCTGTTTTAGCTGAGAGGTCTTCTACCACTGTAGAACGAATCCTGTTTGTGTGGCTCAGCCAGCTGAAGTATGCTGTGAAGTGCAGGGACTTTGGGAGGGGGTGAAAAATTTGACCTTGATTCTGAACAAAGTCCCACTCTTGAA